AGGCTCATAGCAAATAAAAGAATGGAGAAATATATATTCTAGACTAGAAGCAATCTGACTTTGCTTAATAGTGGAAATACAGATTTGTAATATCAGTTCACAAAGACATTGATGTTAGCAAATCTCCAGGATGAGAAGGCGTCCTAACAATGATGCAGCAGTCTCTAGAAGTGGATTAGTTTATATCCCTCACTTTGCACATGGGGACCCAAGTATGGTTTGTATGAACAACTTCAGGCTATCTCCATAAACCCTGTACCAGAATTCTTTAGAATTAGCAAGTGTTTTGAGACATACAAGCAGTTGCTCTTGTTTGGCTCCTGCTGCTAGTTGGCTGATTAAGCCAGCTAGGAAGACATTGTCCATAGTGTTTCATCCAAATTAGGTGCCTGGCTGGTTCCTCTCCTACTTATTGTGCATTGCAAAGCCTTGTCTGTTTTTTAGAATTGATAATAGAGGAACAAACCAAGGATCCTGATTTGGATATAATGCTAAACAAACTGTGGATGTAAGTTCCTGATTTATTTAACTGCTCTTACCTCCAAAAGAAGCCAAGTTGGAGCAGTTGCTTCAGATTATGCTTGATCTAAATACATTTTTGTTTTCTAACTTCTGTGCCCCTCAGATTTTGTTATTACTGAGAATTCTCAAAATCATGTATCTGGACAATGCAAATAATATTTTAGTAACTTTTTGGATCTTGTTGTTTGGAAGATAGCTTTAAATATAGCTTGCTACATGAGCTGGCTAGCTAGTGCTTCTTTGTCCTGCTTAAGACTTAGTAATTACAGGAATAGGTAACCTTGCATTTGCAATGACAGCAAGGGAGTGAGGCGTCTGTTGGGGTTTGTTGGAGCCTAGATGTTTAAACAACTCTAGGAAATACATAACTTAATGTTTATCTTTGCTATTTTCTGTGTTCCCAAACGACGTGAAATTGTTTTGAAAATACAAGTGATTTGGAATATGTATATTTTTAAAAAGTTTGAGATGTTAGAGCATTTAAAAAAAATAAAATTGGGCTTTTTTAGATTATTTCTAAATGCACATGCAAGCAACCCAAGGTAGCTTTTACGTGCAGCTTTTCTTGAGACAGCATCTTAAAAAAGTTTTCCTCGTTAAGGTGGATCTCAGAAGAGTAAGATTTTGCAGTTGAGTTTGTATCACAAAATAGTAAAACTTTCTTTTTCATTTGAACCATTGCATACTAAATTCTTACGATAACATTAGTAATTACAAGGTAGCATTAAATTTTATTACTCAAGCATTCTAATATCTTAATAAAGGTATAGTTTATATGAAGGTAGAGGTGTACTAATAATTTGACTCTGAGATGTCCTAGTATGAGAAGGGCTGTTCCAGCCTCCTCAGAAGCATTCCCACCTTTCCAAAACGGGTCTGATCTTGAAATTGTCTGTCTGATCTCCATTTTGCAATTAGTATGGCCTTTCTAGGCCAGATGGCTTCTGTCATGGCTGTTCCAACATGTGAACATTCTGATAAGATTGGAACAAGATGTTTTAGGGTCAGGACGTTTCAACCTTGAAACTTTTTGTAAAGCACTTTGAATGGATGAAGGATAATATCTGACTTTTGGCAACTTCCTCCTCTTTCTGCATTTCCTTGTAGCAAAAAACCTGATGCTATTCTGGACAAGTCCATAAAACTCTGTACCTTTTGGGATAAGATGCACAACAAAGTTATATGGTTCCATTCTGTATATTAAGATGGAATTTCAAGCCAATGAGATACGGTTACTTTAGCATAACACAAAAAAAATGTATAAAGGTGACAACAACCTTTTCACCTAAATACCATTGCTGGTTGAGGGTACAATGGATATTACAGACCACCATTTCTGGTAGGTACCACATTGCAAAAGGCTAGACTTCAATTATTGTTTAGAATTTTTACAAGCTAAATTAGGCTTGTGTGGATTGTATGCATGTATAAACCCACTATTGATACAGTTTGAGTGTTCCTGAGAAAGGTTTTTTTTTGAATTAGGAGTAATTTATTATAAGGAAGATATCTGATAGGAACACGATACCTAATATTCTTCTGGGACATAAATTTCTGGATAAAGTGATTAAAAAGTGTGACTCCCTAGATATTATACAGATATATTTGGGAAGAAATCCCTTGCAAAATATCTAGTATACATTCTTTTAAAATGATATGCAGTCTCTACTAAATTGTTCTGTTTGGACTACTGAACAAGGAAGAAATGCTGCTAACAAACTACTTTATATGTGTGAACTCACTGTGTTCAGTGAGGTCCAGGTGCTCAGTTTCTAAATGAGATTCACGATGATGGGAAAATAAAGTCTGGAATGTTTGCCTTCCAGCTATTGCTCTGGAAGCATGTTGTTCAATGAGGTGTTACAGTCAACTAGATATGGGTCACAGCTCTGTCCCATGATCACCATGTGTTTGGTTAATCAAGTATTTCTGTTCAAGTGGGCTTTTTGCAAATTGGGGAAATTCATGATTTTGTAAATGTGTTCTCGTTACTGTCTGAGTTGTGGCGATCTTTTTCAAGATAACTTCTGTAGTGTGCTTTTAAACCATTGCAGCAAAATGCACTGTTTGACATATGAATTTTCTTAATTGGAAAATTAATGTCAGGTTATGTCACTTACATTGAAGAGTTTTGCAATTAAAATGTATCCTTTTTTTTTTTGTCAAAAGTTCCCTTAAAAGTAGTTTGAACAAAATGTGTGTGAATATCATAGGTGTTTGCATTTTTACAAAAACACATGCATTTTTAACATAGACTGGGACAAAGATTTTTTATTGGAAAATGTTTATTTGTTTATTTACAGTATTTGTAGACTGTCCCAGTCATAAAGTATAATCTTGGTCTACAACAAAGTAGAAAAGAAAAAAAACAGTGATTGAAACAAGCAGTACTATCAAGATGAATGCCCATAATGTCAATTAGGTCCAAAAGCTCCATAGAATGAAAAGTTTTAATGACTTTGCAGAATGCAAGAAAGGAGAGTGTTACACATATCTCCAAGGGAAGCTTACACATATAGGAGGTTGCCACCTTCAAACTGAGAAGGAAAGTTGGTGTGGAGGCGGAACTATATTGTATGTGTGATTATAAAGGACCTCTTAGCGTTTTAAAGCAGTTGTGTACTCTATGTAGTTATGGAACTATAAGTTTAAATCCACTATTCACCCCCTAAGTGATTTATCTTCTGGGTTTCTGAATACTCTTTGAAATCATACATCTAACAATTTCATGAAATTGCAACAGGAGAAAGGGAATGTGAAGAAGTTGGTGCTGTGCCATAATAGCACAGGGAATAGTTACATTCAGAGATTTTAATGTCATTGAATCTTATTGTGTTTGGGGAGTCTGAATTACAGAGTAGAGGAAGCCTATATTTACATACATGTGATATCCCCCAGTTAACTCGCTCTCTTTTTCTTCGGAGAAAGATCAGGCAGTGCAGAATATGGGAGTATGGTTTTGGCAGAGACTTGTGAAAGTAGAGAATAGCATCTCAATTGGCCCAGCTTTATCGGTGGTGAGAACAGGGATCTTTGATTACATTGTGGTTTCTTTGCAGTCTGTGGCTTTTTTCTCTCTGAAATGCACCAGTTCCATTAATAAGTTAGGGACACAATTATTCCCACTTGGTTTGTAATATCCTGTTGACACTGCAATTTCATGCATGCTTTCTTGAGGATAACCTCCAAGAAACTCATTTTTGAGTAAACATTTTTGAGTAAACATGCATACAGTTCCATTTAATTCAGAGGGAATATTTTATCTAGTGCTGCCTTTTTGTTCTTTCTCCTGATTTGAACATTGTCTCTTTGTTTTACTTTCTTTTTATTACTGAACTGACCTCTGCTTTTCTAGATAGATAAAGTGATACAGTGATGCACGGAGGCGGTTTGCCATAGACCTCTGATTTGACAATAGGTAGTACTTGCCATTACATACTCCATTGCACTTAAATGTAGGCTTGAATAACTGCCTAATACAAGGGAACACTCTGTTTACTTATTCATAAGGCAATTTACAGCATGTCAAATGCAACAGTAATTCATATAACTGAATAAATTGCCATGTGAAGGATTTGTCTCTTGAATAGGCTCAGCCCTTGATGATAGAATAGTAACACATGTCTGGATTTGCTGAGAACCATATGCCAGAAGTCTAACTTACAGATGAATGACTAGCATGTTGTCAAACCCTTTCCAATTGTTCATCTATTTTCTCCTGCTATTGGGTGTGACTGATCTTTAGACAACTCCATTTATGCCTTGTTATAGTTTCTGGATCTTGTGAACAATATACAGCCATATTCCTAAACGTGGACATGCTGCTTATTCAGGTATAAATGGGAATTCCCGCTTACTGTTCTGTGTAAACAATACTAATTGTTACAGAATATGGTTGGGTTATAAACACACACACACACATACATACTGTAGTGTCATCTCAATCCTCTGGATCAAACATCTGTTATCTTTCAGAGTTTATTTGCTTCATGCCCTACAGTATTGGTGGGCTCAAATTGGTTAGTCAGTGATGGTGAATTTTTAGTTGTAGTTCTTGGGAGCCAGTGCTGAGTTATATTAATTAACCAACAATTAAATATTAGTGAATTTTAAAATGTTATTGTATAACAAAGGTTAAAGTATCAATCTCCAAAACACAACTATAATGTAGTGTGGCAGAACATGCATGTTAATTTTAATATATTCTGATAAATCCATTCTCTTATACAACATACTTTAATTTATAGAGTTATAGCTGTACTTATTAAAGAGAAAACCCCTCAGAATATTCACTCCATTCAAATGCAATAATAGAATGGTCCCTATAATGTAATGTTAAATTATTTTAAGGTCTGATCTCATCCTGCATTTTAGGCAGCAGTGTGTTGTTATAACCTGTCATCTCTAAAACCTTAAATTAGAGTAAACTTCGTGGTATAAGATTGATCCTCAAAGGAGACTGCTAGTAGTTGTTGACCATGGATTTCTGCAAAGAAAAAATAAGGTGGACCTTGTATCTTGATCAGGTATTTTTTAGAAATGTTTTTGCCAGTTTTATGATGTTAACTATTTACTTTTAATATTATACAAATAACTAAGGTGCCTAGAGCATCTGAAACCAAATATATTATACAGAGTTTTATAGGTTTTTAAACGTTATTCTTATGCTGAATGTAACAAAAATCTTTTGCGTTGCTCAGTTTCCCAACTTTAAAAAGAAGTCTGAATTCAATTACTAATTAAATTTCTGTCTCAAACTTAAGTGCTGTAAAGAGCTGTAATGAACTATCACCAGATTCCAAATTGCTAGCTCATCTTTTATATCGGTTGTGTTGAAGAAACTGAATTAAATACCTAATATTTTTGTCTTCCATGTCAAAATGCCTTTATTCGTTTTTTTTTTACAATTATATGGATAGGTTGGAAAAGTCTTACTTTATAAATATACATTTTATAATTTTTTTCTGGCCTTGTATGACACTGTTCACATTTTGTATCATCTAACTCATGCTTTGGGAAAGATTGAGAGAATATAAATTCATATTTTGATTTGTATTATGGAAAAGTAGAAATTGAAGTCCATATAATAAATCAGTGAGATTTCTCAACAGCTAACAGCATGGTGCAATTACCAGTTGATATTTGCCATTTATGAAGAGCTCTGTAGTCCAGCTAACATTACATTGTATTGCTTTGCTAGCTGATGCCATTGTTGTGGGACTGTGCGACATGGAGTAGTTTTACAAAAATTTTGTTAACTTGGAAATAGCAGCATAATAACTTTCTTTAACATTGAACATTGCTACAATGATATATTATTATGTATTTGTTTTTCATGCACATTTTTTTCCAAATCTTTTTTATCCCAGATCAGCAAATCCTTAACTTATAAAGATAAATTACAATTGTAGATAGCATTCACTTTTGGCTTGCTGTTCCTCTAACAAGCCTGGATCTTGAAGTTAGCTTTATTGTGACAACAGTCCAGCCTGGCATTCCTCTTCAACCATATTCCTGTGCTTTTCCACCATAGTAAATTTCTGGTTAGTTTAGTTGCCTGTATTTTTGAACCAAGTGGGAATCTTTTGGGCTTATGTGGGGGCCAAGGCATGTTTGTAAACAAAAAGTGTCCCCTTTGCTTTGCAACATGAAAGCTTCTGTTTTACATACACATACAAACATACACGCACTAGTGAATATGTTGGTGCTAAGAGAGGAATTTCTAGGCACTAATTTGCGTATCACCAGCTTTTGTCCCCCCCCCCCCCCCGGGAATATACTAGCTAAGTGAATATAAACTTGTTCATATGTTTTCACTTGAATGTTTGTAGTAAAATATTTAATTTTTGGTTAAGCAGTTTCTAGGGATTCATGTCAACGATTGGTTTCTTGCTTACAATCCTGCCTTAACGCTCATCCTATTTCTGTTCGATATAATGGGTTGTTTGCGTGATTTCAGCATATTTGTCTTTATTCACAAATAAGATATTGATAAGAGGTGGTTAAATGCCCTACAGAGATAAAGAGATAAGGTAACATGCACTTAGTAGAGTATCTGAAAGCAGACAAATATTTTCTTCCCTGTTTAGTATAGCTGTGTTAATGGTAAAATTTTGAAGAGTTTTTCATAGAAATGTTCAGGCTAAATTGTGAGTCGTTTACCAAATGGATGTCTTGTGTATCTGTTGGCCTAATAAGCATGCTGTGAAAGGTTTAATTTGAAAAGTCAGATGAAATTCAGATGGAATAATCTCAAGTATGTTTACAAAGTATATTTATTGGAAAACTACAGTTGTGTTTTCCACAGTACTTAGGTATGGAACATTTTGAAATGAATCTCCATCATGAATTAAATATTGTTGTTATTAACCCAAGTTTCAAAATACCTGTAGCAAATTTAACATTGTAGGAGAGCAGCAAATTAAAACCTCCTTAAACTTGATTTTCAAAAACTCCAGTTTGTGTTGTTTCATCATAAATTAATCAATCAGTTAATCAAAATGCAATTTTTACTTTAAGTAGCAGACACTTTACACAAAAACTGATTTGGTGAGATTAATCTTAATCTACTTTAAGGTAGCAAGGCATAAACAGCGGACCTGTGTGATGGCCTGAGCTATAAATGCTTGAACACTGATGGGTGATGGGGGAGGCACATAGCTAGACATTGTTACTGATCGATATGGATGATAGATCCCACGAGAAACAACTCTCTGCAAGTATGATATTGCCTTGGCGTGATTTTTAAAATACTTTATTTTACAGTCCCAGAAATCTTGGATAGAAAATACTTTCACCAAACGGGAATGTGTGTACATAATACCAAGTTCAAAGGATCCTCACAGGTAAATGAAAAGGGATGCAGCCTTTGGTACCCTCCCCAGGCCTTACCTGCAGGTCCCAGAATTCTCATGAGAGACCTGAGAGAGGTCTACTAATTTCTGCAGTAGGGATTTGGGTTTAAGAAATTTGAGGGGAAAGTTCTGTGATATGAGACAGGGGTGCTTTAATTACTGAAAATGAATAGGAGTGCAAAAAGAGGCCTTTGGGGTTTGCCCAGGGATCTAAAGGAGAAGAAGGAATTAGGATTTCTCCTCTAATTTGTGCTGCATTGGATACATCCCATAGCTGGAGAAAATACCAGTTCTTTGTTTTGCTCATGCATATCATGAAATAGATTTGCTGGGTTTCACTCTTTTTCCTTTGTTCTGTAGTGAACCTGTGCACAAAAAAATAAGCTTAATTGGGAAAAAAAGGTCATACAGTGCCAGCCAGAAATGTAACTTTTGAATATAACAATGACAGTTTTTACACTATCTTCTTATATTTTTAATCATAGATGCCTTCCAGGATGTCAGATTTGTCAGCAACTTGTCAGGTAAGTAGTTTTGCATTAAATAAAACAATTACTCCCCCTTCTTTTTTTTTTTTAAAAAAAAACTTGGTTAAATAATATAAGTAAAATATCTGTAAACTCTATAATCAGTCTAAAAAGTCCTTGGAAGCAGAAACAAGTGAAAATGTAGAGAAGGTTAAATGAAAAAAAGAAATGCTTACCTGAAAAGCATAGCGTAGGTAGACATCTGTTAAAATGAACAGTAAAAAAAAGAAAAAGAAATCCCTCCTATCGTGGCATTCTAGCCCTTAGATATTATCTCTCTTACAAAGTATCTTTATGAATCTTCATTATACTGCAAATTGATTTCTTTAATGTGACCTTTGAAACGGGAGCTTCTTCCCAAAGTTTCTGAAAATACGGAATTGCAGTTTTTAAAGACAGTAACTAGTTTAAATTTTGATGGAAGTTAACAGGTATTTTCTCTACAAAAATGGAGACTGTGAAACACGATGAAAGCGTACCGCAGCTGGTGATGTTATTGCAATGCGTCTGTCCAATTTCCTGAATTGAGGTTATTTTCTTTAGGTGCTGCTGTGGTCGTTTGGTACGGCAACATGCTTGCTTTACTGCAAGCCTTGCCATGAAATATTCCGATGTGAAACTAGGTGAAAATTTTAATCAGGAACTAGAAGAATGGTCTGTAGAAAAACATACGGAACAGAGTTCAACGGATGCTTATGGTATCATTAATTTTCAAGGAGGCTCACACTCCTACCGAGCTAAGGTTTGTACCAAATGTTCTATTTGTCATCTAATGGTGGAGTTGATGGCTTCTTGAGGAATCATCTTCAAATGCATTATCCTAAGTGAAGATTAAAATAGCAGTATCAGTCTTTAAACACAGAGGTGATAGGATGGAATTAGATGGAAGTTAAGCCAAGTTCCCATATGACTGAATTCCCCTTCAGTTTATAATGTAATGGAGTTGTATGTTTTATTATCTAAACTTCCTTTTAATAAGCTTCCATGGATGGGGCTAACAACTATTTATACTTTGCCTTTTGAACTGGATTTTATATCTTTATCAATGGCTATTAATTTATCCATTAATATGGATATTAAATTTATTCATTTATTTAATTCAGCATTTCAGATTTTCTTTGTATTTTGTTGATACTGGTAATTTACTGAAATGGAGGTTTAATTGAAGCAATTCTATTTCACTTTATTCCATGTTGTTTATTCTTCAACATTATTAGGAAGTATGTTTAGATATATGCACACTCTTGAATTAGTCATTGGGATGTGGACATTTGTTTCTTAGTCACCATGTTGAATTTCTTGAATTTTTAACACATTTTAAACAATTCATGCAGAAACAATCCCACTGTTAATCCTGTTTGCAGCATATTATTATTTTCTGTGATAGACTTTCGGCTGAATTAGTTTGTTATTTTTTGTTATGGAAAGAAAAGATTGGCTTATAATAGCACATTACAATTTAATTATATTTTCATTAGTACCATGTACATTTTTTTCTCCACTTCGAATAGCCATCATTTTCTATAATACGTGAACTGAAGCATACTCTGATTACTGTTAAAGTGGTTTACCTCCAGTTTTGAAGAAGAAGCCAGCTTGTAATTTCTTCTGATTATGTTTAGTTAAATGATGGCTATTAAATGATGGCTATTAAGGTGGAAGAAGGAGCAAGTCAGCCTATGGCCTCTGACAAGGTCCACGTGTTGTTCTTTTTTGTATGCTATAAAAATAGGTCCATTTATTTACTAAAATATTTGTAACTCACACTGTATCTGTTGATATTAAGATGGGATATAAATAATAGAAACAACACAAACCACAGGGAACATAGAAAACATCAAACTCCAAACTCCAATATAAAGAGGTTGTAAGTTAAAACCAAGTAGTAGCTCAAACATTTCCATGAATGGGGCAATTTTCATTTTGTGATAAAAGAACACCTTGGTGTAAATCAGGTGTCTAAACGAAAGGTTTTCAGTAACAGAGTGCCACAGCCAAGGAAACCCTTCCTTCTTTCTCCTATGTTTTTATATTGATGGGACACCTGTAGATGGGACACAGAGACAAACCAGCTTAACAGATCTGTACAACATACTGAAGGTGACAAATACAAGAATTTCAGCTGTTGAAAAGTCATCACTTATACTTTGAACTCACACCAAAAGTATTGTGGAAGCTAGAGCAAATCTGTTAAAATTGGTATTCTTAAATTATATTTCCAAAAGCTATTTAGGCTTATCTTTATGCCTTAAGTCATGAAGTCATTTGTGTGTATGCTAAGCTATACTTTATTTTAACCATGGTTTGTTAACTAAGGCTTTATGGCTAGATTTGCATTATTAAACTATTAACTAATGGTTACAAATTAGAATGGCTGTATTTGCAGAATATGCTAAACCAAAATCAAACAAATCATTTTATGAATCCAAAAATCTGAGGCAGATATTTAATCTTTTAAAACACTCATTAGAAACTATCCTGAATTTGGATAACCCTGCCAATTGTATATTTGTGTCTAGTCATGAATTGTATAAGTCTGAGTTTTATTTTTTGCTAGTTTCATTATTAAAGATTGTTAACATTTTCCTCTTTTTTTTTGTTTTGTTAGTATGTACGATTGTCATATGACACCAGACCTGAAGCCATCCTACAGCTTATGCTTAAAGAATGGCAGCTGGAACTGCCAAAGCTTGTTGTTTCTGTACATGGAGGGATGCAAAAATTTGAGCTTCATCCACGAATCAAACAGTTGCTTGGTAAAGGCCTTATTAAAGCTGCAGTAACAACAGGAGCCTGGATTATAACTGGAGGAGTGAACACAGGTGATGTCTTGACTTGAAACATACTTTTAATTTACAAGCGCAAGGCAATTGGTTCTGTGTCCTGTTACTGTTTTGATGTCAGAATGACATCTGTGGGACTGGTTTCTAAAGATCCATGGAGATAGTATATTTGGAATCCTGGGATGTCACTGGGCTTAAGAGATAGAGCTAGATAAGGATTGGTTGGGTATGATTTATGAACTGCGCTGCTGAGTTTTGTGGATATTTATTATCAATGCACATATAACTTTGTTCTTGCACAGGAGTTGCAAAACATGTTGGTGATGCTCTGAAGGAGCATGCCTCTCGATCATCTCGAAAGATTTGCACTATTGGAATAGCTCCTTGGGGAGTGATTGAAAATAGAAATGATCTTGTTGGGAGAGATGTAAGTTCATAAAGTTAATTGTATGTGCTGTTAACTGGGGATGATCTTATTAAGGCTTTGATTTGAATTCTTAAGGTCATAACATGTAATTGTGAAGTGAATGGGGAATGAAAGGTGGATTCTTCTTGCAGAGAATTTACACTTCGTGTCAGTTGTCAAGCGAGTACAGTATATCAGAATAAAGCAAGATATTTAAAAACTCTCTATTTTGGACACATTGAAAGCCTTGATTTTGCAAGAGAATATTTTAAAATGTAAAAACTAATTAAAATGTGTTAATTGACTGCATTACAATTTAATTGTAATAGTCTTCCACTTTTGAATAAAGTCATGTGCAGTTTCTTCTTGTATTACCACTTTCTTTCTATAGGAATAAAGCATTGATCCTTAACTAATGGATGTGATGATCACTGGCAATTGTAGACTGCTTAATGTTTGAAAGAGTAACTTTGATTTATTACACAGGAACAGATTAATTTTGTTTTATGTTTAGGTGGTTGCTCCATATCAAACTCTGCTAAATCCTTTAAGTAAATTAAACGTCCTGAATAATCTTCATTCCCATTTCATACTGGTGGATGATGGCACAGTTGGAAAATATGGAGCAGAAGTAAAATTGCGGCGAGAACTGGAAAAAACAATCAGTCTGCAACGAATTCATGCAAGTATGTATGGTGCATAATTAAAAATGATAATAGTGTTGAGTATTTTTTTAGTCTACATGAAATGAGATGAGTTTGCAATTAGAGAATGGATGATGAAATGGTAAAGATTTTCTTGGATTTGTATAATTGGTAGGAGGCCAGTTTTAAGTTGTTTCAGTTATGGAAGGTCAATTCGCCATGTAAATTTATTGATAAAGTTTTATACATCTATTATAGAATTTTTTACAAACATTCTACAAGCTTTTCAAATAGTTTTGGGCAAATCTTTGATAGTGCCATGTTTGTAACTATAAACTAACTTTTGCTGTGAAAAATTATTTCATGTTTACAATGTTTAACTTGCGTTTACGCTGACTTAGCGAACTATAGTAAAACCACACTTTAGACCTTGTGTATGATTACCTGTACTTAAAACCTGTGCTGATCAGCTTTTTGACTTGTTTATGCAATAAAAGACAAATGTTGAATCTAGCATATATTATGGAAGTTAGTGTTCTGACTAGTACTTACCAGGATCCTTGAAACTTGAAATATTCTGTGGACATTTGGATATATATTTTGAATTAAAGATATTGAACTTGAATGGAAAAGAATGGTATATTTAAGTACATAGTTCATAATAGAATTTCTATACTCATCCTAAAGTCCATTCTAAATCCACTTTTTGGATGACCGGCCAAATTTTAAGCATTTTTTCTTATCTGTTTGGTCAAAGCCTCTGTATTTTCTTGTGGTTCCATGCTGTTCCCTGCAGGCTTAATCTGGTGAAGCTGATTTGTAGTCATGAAAATTCACCATAAAATAAGAAATGGTGTGGTATAATGGTTAAAGAATTGGACTGGGACTGGGGAGGTCCAGGTCAAGTTCTCAGTCAACCACAGAACTCACTGGGTGCCTTTGGACCAGCTATTCTCTCATTCCAATGGCTGCTTGTTGTAGTGATGATATTAGGGGAGATACCCCATCTATATCAACTCAAAATTCCCGAAAAGGGTTGGTTATAAAAGCTAATCAAACAAAAATATGTTAGTCTTTAAATTGCCCAAATACCTTGTTTTGCTTTCAGTACTTGTATGCCATCGTTTAACACAAAATTTAATATTATAATTATAATTCATTATAATATTTGATTTAAAAAATAAAAGCAAATGTACAACTTATAACTAACATTCAGGGCAAGCAACAGCAGTAAGATATGCTTTCAGTTAATTTCTAGAGATCTGATGCAATAACAAAAGTTGATGCAATTAACTTACAAACAGGCTACCTATTACTAAAACTGCCAGATGGCGTTCTCCTTCCTCAAGCCGATGAACCGCTGAAGCCACGCAGTGTTTTCATGAACCACTGAAGCTCCACGTTTTTAATGTACAGCCTGTTTTCAGCAGTTCATGAAAGCAATGCGCAGCTTCAGTGGTTCATTGGCTCAAGGAAGGAGAACGCTGTTAGTAACAGGCAGCCCATTAGTAAGTACGAGTTCTGACTTACATACAAATTCGAGTTAAAGACAGACTTAGGAACGGAACTCGTTCTGAAGCATAGTCTGGCCTCTGCCATTCACCCAGGCTTAGTATTTCAAGAGCTAATCAACCCAAAATAGGGTCTTTTTGGTAATGGTGCAAATCTTTGGAAACTCCTCTGTAATTATTTAAAATATTTATATCCCACCCTTTGATTGAATGAACTTCATTATGGGTTATAACAGATTTCAGTGTATTTGGAGCAGAGAGAGCTTGAGAACTGCTGATGCTAAAATCCATATAGCCTGCATAGGTTTGTTTGTGTAGGGATTCTTTAGGAGTGTAGCAGTACCACAGGTTCTCTTATTTCATCTTTGCAAGAATCCCAACTTTAAACAAAAAGCAATGTTTTGTTGTAGTTATCTATTGCAAGTGTATGTCTCATTTCTGCCAGATTGTTCAAGGCAGTCAGTGCAAGCTTTCCACGTGATCTTTCATGTAGGTGTAAGCAGCATTTGGGCCTATTTAATTTCTGCAAGGTTTAGTGATTTTCAAGCTTTTAAAATGATATAATGTATTCAGCGATTCACAGCTGAATGATATACTAGAAAATTATAACCTCTATGACTTTTGTTACTCTCTTGATTATTCATTTGTATTCTCCTTTTTTATCCCTTTTAATTGTTTCTTTTCTTTGCCTATTTACACACATTCTTTGAAATGTCTCATAAAATATATATATAAAAAATAACTTCTGCAAAGTTGTTGCATCCTCCGTGCGTCAATCTTTATCCTGGGTGTACATTGATCATTCAGGAGGAGTCGCTAAATACAGCTGTGAAATGTTCCCAGGAAAGGGCTTTGGCGCTCTGTATAAATAAGTCACCGCTCATTAGTTAATAGCAGTAAAATTAATGTTGTGAAGTCCTTGGCACTCTCTGAGCTTGGTTGTTTGCTTGCAGACGTTTCATTACCCAACTAGGTAACATCATCAGTGATACTGAGTGTGGAGTTTGCTCCCTGTTTATATAAAGTAGCTTGCCCTGCCAGTGGTGGTGGTGGTGGTGGGGTTTCTCCTTGGTAGTTCCTTGAGTGTTTTCTGCTTGATGGTTTGTCTGGTGTTAATCCCTGCTTATCTGGGTGTAGGCTGCTGGAGAAGATGTGTTCTGGTCATTTTGTTTCCTTCTTCGTTTTTTTATTGTCTCTTTTGAATGATCTATAAATGTGGTTTATCTGTATGTGTCTATTGTTGGCTGATTTGTCTGAATGCCAAACTTCTAGGAATTCCCTAGCATTTTTGGATTTAGCTTGGTCTAGGATACTCACAGTTTCCCAGTTAAAACTATGGGTGAATTTTAATTTTGGCAACCAATAAAAACTGCAGTGTTAATTTAGCAACATAACAAAACCTGCTTAATGTATAGAGGGTGCACATTCTGCTTTTTTTATTGTAAAATTTGAACTTTAATACTTAATTTTTAAAAAGTTCCAAGTATATACATGAATAAAGCATTTTGATATTTTCTTTAAAACCTCTTTGCCTAGGAATTGGACAAGGTGTTCCTGTGGTGGCACTTATCTTTGAAGGTGGTCCCAATGTTGTCCTTACTGTTTTGGAATATCTTCAGGAAAGCCCTCCTGTGCCAGTGGTGGTCTGCGAGGGGACTGGCAGAGCTGCGGATATTCTGGCTTATGTCTATAAGCAGACAGAAGAGGGCGGGTAAGCCTTTTTAAGCATCAGCCACCTACAGTGAAGCTGATCTTCAACAGATTGGGTCGTTTGTCCCTCTTGTTCAATCTTTTTCAGATGCTGTCCAGAGCTGTGGACTAGAATCCATTTCAACCTTGCCATCTGAGATCTGTTCAACTCCAGGTTGACTTTCTCTGTGCAAAACTATGTATGCTCGACCACTGAGCTATAGTATCTCCATGGGATGAGAGCAGTTCTTCTACAATTGGGTCTTAACTTAAGTGCAGTTGCCTGAGAAACATTTTATTAGAAGCTGGTTCTCTAATGGTCACGACTTTCTCCTCCTGTGGCTTTGGACTTAAAAAACATACTGTAATTATGATAATTATGCAGGCTTTCTGATTTCTTTATTTAACCTCAGAAGTATCCCTGATGGAGCTGAACCAGAAATCATTTCAACAATCAAAAAGACATTTAATTTTGGCCAGAGTGAAGCAGTTCATTTATTTCAGACACTCCTGGAATGCATGAAAAAACGGGAACTGGTAAGTAATTCACTATACTGTGTAAAAGGTCACAAGGATTGGTTTAATAAATATTTCAATCTGTGAAGAATTAAAATATGTATTAATAAATCCACATAAATTTGTCTACTTGTAAATATTACTGAAGTTAGGATTCGCATTTGAATTTATCATGATGTAGCCTGAGTACATGAGATGGAGTTTGCATTGTGTGAAAAGGAAAAGAGATATATTGGGCTTAATTTAAAGAAAGCTTAGCAAATATTGTTATGTTTTCTACTGGGGGGCAACATTCCATTTCCTATGCTCCTTAATTTGAATTTGCTTGTCTTTCAGTGGTAGTATTTGAATTATTTTATAACATTGCATTATATGTTAACATTGGTTCACTTACTTTGTTCTGCAATTGTGTGAATTTAGAATTCCATACACCACAGTTGGTTGATGAACAATTAATCTAAAAAGACACTGAAAACTTGCTTTTTTTCTTAATCTAATTTTCAAAATAGATCACAGTGTTCCATATTGGGTCTGATGAGCATCAGGATATTGATGTTGCAATCCTTACAGCCCTACTAAAAGGTACGCTTTTCTTTAAAGTTACATTGTATATTTTTGAACTTAAGATGGTTCCACACTACTTCTTGGTGGGACTAGGGAGGGGCATCCACCCCTTTTTTTCTTGGCTGTCTTGTTTTCTGAGTAGCAACTGTTTTGGGAATCCCCTTTAGAAAAAAACCTGCATTTTTTTGCTGTTTATTCGATTGAGTCTTTGGGATCCTGATTACATCATCTCTTATAATGGTGTGACAATTATACAAAACTGTCTGAAGGCTGGATAATTCTTGGTTTAATTTTGAATAAGCTTGTCCTTTTTTTTCTATGGTACCCTCCAGCATATTGATGGGGATGGTCATACAAAAAAAAAAAATAACTAATCTGTTAGTTTCAGGAGCACTTTATTCTGTAGCTCTTTAAAATAGGAGCATATACATTTAATACATCTTTCTCAGCTTCAAAGACTTTCCTCTAATCCACATGTGTAACTTCTCTTAAGCAAAATCTTGAAATCAGTTGGTTTTTAATATGCATTTGTATTGGATCTGGATACTTTTGGAATAGGGCTTTTGTGGCAAGCAGATTAAATTTCAAAACTGTTTTTTGTTTACATTTGTTTTTAGGCACAAATGCTTCTGCATTTGATCAGCTTATCCTTACACTAGCTTGGGATCGAGTTGATATTGCCAAAAATCATGTTTTTGTTTATGGACAACAGTGGCTGGTGAGTAAAGTTGGCAGTTGGACTAGAGACAACATAAATAAGATTGCTGACAACCAGAATGAGCAAAGCAGATTCTTGGTTTATCAGTATTTGCAAAGTAGGAATTGTCTTTTAAAATAAACCCTTGTTTGCACAGTACTGTAATATTTGGGCCATATTGTATCAATTTTTGTATTTATATATTCTTTAATTTTAATTTAAGCATTGTCATCTTAAAATTTCTTCAGGTTGGCTCTTTAGAGCAGGCTATGTTAGATGCCCTTGTGATGGACAGAGTTGCCTTTGTGAAACTGCTTATTGAAAATGGAGTAAGCATGCACAAATTTCTGACAATTCCCAGACTGGAAGAACTTTACAACACTGTAAGTTGATGACCATTTGCAAAATATCCATGCATTGTTTTTAAAATCTCTGCCGTGGAACTAGATTTGCACTTTTCATCTGGAGGACCAAACAAAACTTGCATTCCAGGGGAAATACTAATTTGGCCAATAATTATTTGTTAAGACAGTTTTAATAGAGGATTGTTCTCCTTTTGTTGTATTCCTTCTTTGATGGAATAGAATCCAACAGCAGAACAGAGGTTTTGCTCCTCTGTATCAATTTGTATTTTTTTTCCTTCTGCTGAGTAAAAACTTTTCTTGGACAAAACTATTTTATAATGGCTTAAAGTGCTTCAATTTTAGTTATGAATATTGCAACAATATAGTATTTTGCTAGTTAAAAATAAAAAACAATTGGCATTTAGTCATTCTTCTCCTGTTTTATTGCTTGCCTAAAATCTAAAAGTCTTCATTCTCTCTTTCTTCATCAAGAAACAAGGCCCAACAAACCCAGCATTGTTTCACCTTGTCCGAGATGTCAAACAGGTAAATATTTCAATTAATAAAATGTCTTCAAGCTCTTTAGAATTTCATAAACCATATTAGTCCCTCCTCTCCCAGTTTAGTATAATTTTATTTCTAGCAAGATTGTGGGAGTTGCAGTTCCAAAATATCTGGGGGAAGGAAGTTAATCAAGGATAGGGAGGATGTTTTATTTAGCAGGTACTTTTTTTCAGATAGCTTGTTGTACAGGGATGGCAGAACATTTTGAATCTTAGTTCCAAATTCTCATTGCTTTGTCTGTAGGGAAATCTTCCTCCAGGATACAAGCTCACTTTGATTGACGTTGGACTTGTTGTTGAATACTTAATGGGAGGAACCTATCGGTGCACGTACACAAGAAAACGCTTCCGAGTGATATACAACAGTCTCAGTGGCAGCAATCGGGTACATGATTTTTTTTTTTAGTGGGAAAAATGAAAATGCATTCAAATGTATAAGTAGAGTTGGCTTCTTACAAATCAGCCTTCTCCCTTGTGTATCTGCCTGTCAGTTAAGATCTTGTGCAGATGCTCCAATTGAGTCTTTAATCCTAGGCAAACGTGGCACCCTCAGTTGGCCATCCCCATCAGATTTTAGTTGATGTGCAGGCACATCAGGGAGAAGGCACTCTTTCAGATATTCAAGGCTAAGCTGTATAAAGCTCTGCACGACATTACAAGCATCCAGTAGAACTCTAGCAGCCAGTGAAATTCTTTCAGAACAGAAGTGATATGTTCCTGGTAAGTTGCCTCCCTCCGGATGCTTAGATTATGTCCAGAGCATTTCACATGCATTTTCTAAGGGAATCTTCAATAGCCTTTTAAGATAGACCAGTTTTATCCCAGCTTTGTAGGCAGACTGGATGAGAAGTTTCCTTCCAGTGAGTTCATAACTGACTTGCAATTAATACGTGATTTCCACATTCTCTCACCTCTGTGGTATCAGGCTGTATCACCTGAGTTATTTAAAACCCATCTGGGTTTTATAATTTAGGTAATGGTTTCTATTATTTCATGCAAGTCTGGCAACGTATTTGAAATAACCATCTTTTTCATTTGTTTTTAACTTTTTAAAAATATATATGTGTGTGTGCGTAGCGCTCCGGGCGAAATACTTCAGGCAGCACCCCTCAGTTGCGTAAAAGCCATGAACCTTTTGGGAACAGGGTGGATAAGAAAGAAAAAATGCGGCACAATCACTTCATCAAAACTGCACAGCCTTACAAACCAAAGGTATGCAATAGTTAATGCTGTATAAATAATGTATCGTGCTTCTTGTAAACTATTTTATTTGTTGTTTCAATATACAAAAAAGAAAAAAAGAGAAACAAATTATGAAACCTTGATAACACAAATTAATATTCATCAGTTTTTCCATTACTGTATGTTGGGAAAGAGCTCATAAACAGAAAGTGAACACATATCTCTAATCCAGGATTGTAAATCTTGGCTAGTTCTGTCTTTTTGACATTGAAGAGTGTCGTACTTTGGTACTTGAGAAATCTATAAGATTTCATAGTGATAAATTCCAAATTTGGGATATATACATCCACATCCATAAATTGTAATTATCTTTGAATCCCGATATCTGATATCTGATGGATATCAAATTAAAACAGGACAAGTCCATATCATAGAATTTAATGTCCCTTTATGTGGCTAACATAACGGGGCCAGGTTACCTGAGGGACCACCTCTCCCCAATTACATCTGCCCGTCCCATCAGGTCTGGCAGAGAAGGCAGGCTGCGGGTCCCGTCTGCCAGAGAATTACATTTGGCAGGACCCAGGAGGCGGGTGTTCTCTGCTGTGCACCCGCCTTGTGGAATCTCCTCCCCCCGGAAGTGAGATTAGCTCCATCCCTCTTAACATTCCGCAAGTCCCTCAAGACCTGGCTATGTGATCAGGCCTGGGGATCCCAGGGGACTGGGGAGATTTTGCCATGGCCCCCTTATTAATTTTATCCCCTCCTGTCCTGTGTGCTTTTATAGTTTTTTATTTGTAATTGTTTTTATGTATTTATTCTTTTTAATTGTTGTACGCCGCCCAGAGTCACTTTGTGTGAGACGGGCGGCTATATATATGATAAATAAATAAGTTAATAAATAGCTCATACTTTTAGCTGAGGTTCTCTAGGCTTAGGGAAAGCAATGCTGAAGTAGGGATCACATTTTTTGTAGGTGTTCTGTGCTATGTTCCAACTACCATTATCCCAATAAATCCTTACAAATAACCTTTTTAAAACATTCTTAGGGAGTCCAATAAACATCATTAAAATTGCGCAATGAGTAACACAAGAGATAAAAGACAATTCAGACAATAGCCGTTCCTTTTGCGATATGTGCAAAGGGTGAGAAATTTGATCTCAAAAACAGCAGAAAGCTCTGTATCTAAGAGTTGTTTTTTGTTGTTGTTGTAGCTGTCTAGTTTGCAAGGCAGTTTATTCCCTAAGGCACTTAGTAGTAATAAGTTGTCAAATTCTATTACAGAAGAAAATTATCTTGCTGGTTTTTTTCTCATTCTGGTATGTCTGCCTTGATTATTTTATACTTCCTTCCCATGCTATTTGTTTAAAGGATTTCTATACTGTGTCCTGCTGTGAAATCCAGGCCCTTTTCTCTGTTACTTACTAATCAATTGTTGCAGGGTTGATATCTTGATGTGCCAATAACTGAGGTAGAAAATTCTACCTGTAATAAATAGTGAAAAAAATATAAACTGGTTTCAACGACACTGTCTTTATAAGTACATTCGTGAAGATTATTGGGCATCTTTGTGATATTTCTTGAACACATTTATATAGGGTTTAGTATCTTGGTATTTAAATAATTCATGTGAGTGTTCTTTTTTTTTTTTCCCCCTAACCCAATGGATTGTTGAAAAGAAATTATGGAAAGGTTGGGACTTGGCCTGCCTGTCCATCAACATGATAATTCTCCAAAAACTGAACAGAATAGAGCCAGATTTGTTTGTGGTGGGGAGAGCTAGCCAAAGAAAGTCTGGTTAAAAAATAGCCATATTTGGTAGAGAGGGCAGAGAAAAAAATTCCCCCAAAATTTCCCCAATGCAGTCTTTGAATGCAGTAGTGACTTGGAACGTTGCCAAGTGTTCCATTCTACACCCCCGTACTGTCCTCCCATAATCTGAACTGATGTTAAAGGGTTGGGAAGAATTCTAGAAGCCACGCTAGCTGTATTGTTACTTTTTCTCATTTTAAGTTGTGTTGGATGCTGTCTTGGAAAGTTTGCCCTAGAATGCAGCTAAAAAAACCTTTTAAATAAATAAATGGTGAGCTCTTAAATCAGAGTCCGTGTTTTTTCTTTTGAAAGGCCGATACTGCCACAGATGAAGGAAAAAAGAAAAAAACCAAAGATGACATTGTGGATATCGATGATCCAGAAACCAGGCGCTTTCCGTATCCTCTTAATGAGTTGTTACTTTGGGCAGTGCTGATGAAGAGACAAAAAATGGCTCTCTTTTTCTGGCAGCATGGTGAAGAGTCCATGGCAAAAGCTTTAGTGGCCTGCAAGCTTTATCGTTCCATGGCCTATGAATCTAAACAAAATGACCTGGTGGATGATACCTCAGAAGAACTAAAACAATACTCCAAGTGAGCATTTCACCTTCTTAGATACCGTATTTTTCCGTCTATAAGACGATACTTTTTTCTAAAATCATTACACTAAACATTGAAAGGCGTCTTATGCAAGGAAGTAAGCCGAGGAGAGGACCGCGCAGTTGCGAAACTCCCCATACTTTGTCTCTGCAAACAGGCTTCCTCCAATCACGAGCCTTCAATCACGAGTGAAACTGCCCATACTGCCTCTGCCAACAGAATTCCTCCAATCACGAGCCTTCAATCACGAGTGAAACTGCCCATACTGCCTCTG